ACAGCCTCTTCAAAAGTCTGAAAAGCTCGGCCGTGGAGTTGTCCAGCGCCGCCCAGCAGAGTGTGAACCAGGAGGAGATCGCCGCCTACAAATACACCTTCTCCCAGCCGGGCGCCCTCACGCCGCCCATCAACTGGTACCGCGCCGCCTTCACCAAGTCCCGCCAGGTGCGCTTCGACATGGACTACGTCATGCCCGTGCTCCTGATCTGGGGGGTCAAGGACGTGGCCTTGCACATTGACCTCGTGGCCGAGATGAAGAACAGGTGCCCCAAGATGGAGGTCAAGCGGCTGGAAGATTCCGGTCACTTTGTCCAGAACGACTCGCCTCAGCTTGTGAACGAGGCGATGAGGGGGTGGCTGGAGGGGCTAGGGGAGGGAAAGTGAGCGCTGGGTGACCAGTGACTGACCACAACAACAGACCGCTAGCGACAGAACTGTTGTCAAAGTTAGGAAGAGCCATGATCTGACCAAAGCACAGTGCCATGTCTATATATATATTATATTATTAATTTTATATGTGTAGATAAAAGTACATCCCCATACCCTGCCATTCATTAAATATTAAATAAATTGAAAACTTCTTTGCGCATGTCTTTTGTGTGTGTGTATGTGTGTGTGTGGTGTGTGTGTGTGTGTGTGTTTGAATATGTGCGTGTACGTGTGTGTCATTTGTGTGCGTGTGTATGTGTGTGTATGTGTGTCTGTGTGTTAGTCATAGTAAGAGTGTTATGGCTCTTGCAATACAATAAGGTCAAACAAGTGCCCAAGATTAGAGGTGTTACAAGAGAATAACAAACACAGAAAGGAGAAGAAATGAGGACGATATAATATGTTTCATAGAAATGGAGGAGCAAACCACACCAGAGCACCCGCTGACCACCAACTGAATCATGTGTTCTTTCAGCAACATTTTCCTTCCAAAAATGAATCTAAAAGACAAGGCCTTGTTTTCAAAATCATCACGTGACGTCACAGAGACGACTTTTAGTACTATTACAACCTCTTTGACAATATCCTCAGTGCCATTACAGTCTTTTCTTCTTCTTTTTTAAGTCCTGAGAAAATTCTATAACAATGATTTTATTGTTTCAAATCTAGTTTTATTATAGGCTAATAAAATTGAAGTTTTCATCAAAGTTGTTTTATGAAGAGTACGATCATAGGTAAAAAGCAAAGACAAAACAGAACTGCGCAATTACTTTCATAGGGCCACGCCATACTCTCCATAACGTGAATGAATATTCATGTTCACGAATTGACGCATGCGTCCGCGCAAGCCTTCATTTCGTGTTGATGGCGCGAAACCGCGAGGCAGTTGCCAGATTTTTCCCACGAGCTCAGCTATTTCAGTCACAGCCAAGAGTTATTACGATTTAGCCGTTTACTCTATCACGTTAAAAAAAAAAGGAGGTTTGCAAGGTCTTTGGCTGTTACTCGTTTTGACACGCAACAAAATTCTCAAATGTGTCTATAATATTAACCGTGGTATCAACTTTATTTTCAGTCAGTCAGTTCCAAGTTAAAAAGATTCGAGTTTACTTTACAATAGTGAAATGGTATGGGTTTAACGCCCCCATCAACACTATGAGTTTACTTTATTCTAATTATAAAAAATGCGATGACAAGACATGCACGTTTGTTTTTTTTACAAAGAGAAATTTTGGCTTTTGGTTAGAATCTAGTGTTGGCTCCAGCAAGTTTCAGCTGCTTTAAGTTTTACCTAGGTGCATCGTTCTTCCGAAAGTCTCAATAACCACTGCAACTGCAAACCCACGACTCGCCAAAATTAAAAATGAAACTTGCGTTTATACTACAACTGAATAATACTTATTATAACAAATGTTGATGTCATTGTGATGCTAAACACACACACACACACACACACACACACACACACACACACACACACACACACACACACATACACACACACACACAAACACACACACACGAACACACACATACACAAACACATACACACACACACACGCGCGCGCACATATATATATATATATATTTATATTATATATATAGAACTTCATAAGTTTACTTTCTTTCTAAATAAGGCGAAGATCTATAAGCTTGAGTTAAACTACATTACATTTTGATGGTGATAATAATAAGAAGAAGGAGGAGGAGAAGAAGAAGAAAAATAATGATAATAATAATAATAATAAATAATAATAATAATAATAATTCAAGTCTGCATTCCGCACGACAACACTTGCTCAAAACAATTCTGCATGACAAACTGGCACAATCCGATTTCTTATTTACATTGGGCCGGTGTAATAAGCCAAAATCACTCCATGCAAGAAACACTACCATAGTCATTTTGGCAACTCTGAAAGCACTATCAGTAGTGTTTATAGGACAGACCTTCACGCCAAAAACACTATTTCCGGCTACGCCAAAGACACTATCCTTGAGCTAAAATCACTCTATGCAAGAAACACTACCATAGTCATATTGGCAGCGCTGAAAGCACTAGTACTAGTAGTAGCTTACACTGAAATGTGGGGGCAGAGTGGTGTCGCTATAAGATACATGTAACTGTATAACCTTTTGATGTCTCGTCTTTTTTAGATTAAAAAAAACATGCCAAAATGGTTCATTTTCCTTTATGACCACCGTTACCATGGCAACTGCAAGATTCATCCACGAAATACATTTGTAGATGATTGCAAATTGCTCACAATACGATCCTTAATAATATGAGTGTGTGTTTTTTTAAGTCTCTGTAGAAGTGAATTCGGCGTGAGAAGCCGAAAATAGTGGGGTTTGTGTGATTGTATAATATATTGCCTGAGGCTAAGAATAATATACGTACATCTGGTGGTTGATCTAGATCTAGATCTAAATCTATTGGGTTTTTTTGGATAGTAGTTTATTTAGCGTGATCATTGATCGGGATAGATCTATTGGGGTTTTTTTTAGCATAGATCTACTTGAATAGTAATTTTTGCTTGAAAGAGAGTGAACTCATTGATATATATCTAGCCAGAAATAGTGATGTTGACGTGAAGGCCTATGCTATAAACACAAACGATAGTGGATTTTGCGTGATGGTAGTGAATGTACTTTACGTACATCTGATGGTAGTGTTTTTTGCGGGACAGTAGTTTATTTAGCGTGAAAGTCTGTCCCGTATTCAAGCTGCGCACATCAAAGATCACTTGGTGGTCTAAAATCGATAAGAGTAGGCTTCGGCCGCCACCCGGACAAAATCAAAAATTTCGTACCGACTGTAAATGTTTTGGTGTGTCCCGCGCGCTCGTCTTATGACATTATGCAGTTGCGAGCGCCGTAAAACACTTATTTAAAAAGTCTAATACAAAAATAACACGTTTAACACATGGAAGGAAAAACACGCAAAACGAAAAGCAATGTATACTGTAAAGAAAATTTATTCAGAGTGCAGTTTACAATAATAAGTGGAGGATCTCTCAAAGTTTCACAAAGAGTTTGGCAGTTGTCAATTTTGATATTGACTAGATATATTATATGGTCGCTTTTAAGGACAAGCCTGATTTCGGGGGTTTCCAGAAATATTGACCTACACCAAAAGTGTTCATTGCCCTACTTATAGGAGAAGTTTGGTTTCATTGGTGTGTATATTTGTTTGGTTATAGAGAAAACTCTCCTTGTCTTTTAAAGAAACTGGACAAGGGTCCAAAAACTTTACATTCGATTTTCTCAAAACATAATTTTTTTCGGGATAGCCCCCTTGTGCTTAAAAGCGACCATATAGGCTTCTACTGCTTCTGATCCAGAAAAAAGAGTAAAGAGTTGTTTTCTTTTTACAATTCAAAAGTGTCAAGTTTTCAAATTTTGTCTCAACTAATTACTGACATCTGTCTCTCCACTGAATCTGGTTTCAAACATAAACCTCTAGCTACAATTTAAGAAACTCCAACGAAAGGATTAACTTCATTTTATTTTGAATAGACACCGCCACCTTCCACCACTACACCCCCCAAAGAGAAAACAAAAACAAACAACAACAGCAAAAAACAACTGACTTAGTATAGGCTAGATACACATGTCATATTATATTAATCACAATTTTTTTTTTACCAGAACACTATGGTTATATACTAAACTGATTCATATGTATCGAAGATATAATCGACTGTAAAAAAACCCAACAAACAAACAAATAGACGAACAATCAAATAGAAATAAACAAACAAGCAGACAAACAAATAGACAACAAACGAACAAAACGAAATAAACAAATAGACAAAACAACCAAACAAAAGATCGTTGCTTAAAAATACAGTAAATGAAACAGTGAGCCGAGTACCGCATTACAACAAAACAGCTGGTTGACTGGTGGATCGGTGAGTTGTGGACAACGGTTTGGGGAAAATGGTCAAAATGTATGTTTGGATTTGTTTTGTCTTGTTTTGTTTGGAGGGGTGGTTGGGGGGGTGGTTGGTAAGTGTTTTACGGCGCTCGCAAGTGCACACGGTCATATGAGCATGTGGTATAGGTTTAATTCACCAATCAACACAATTAGGTTATTTAAGAGCTCTCGTGGTCTATAGGTTAAGGTGTTCGCCTCTCATTAGTACATGTATCCGGATTCTCATTTGACCCCGACATACATGGAAATGTACAAGAAAAGTCCGCTTGCTTCTCACAACCCTTGTTTCTCAAGTCGGTTTTTCACTTCACTGATTTCACAGGGATATTCTGCTTATTCTCGAGCCATGGAGAGGACTCTTTCAGGAAGGAGAAGATTGTGATGGAGAAAGGAGTGCAGCCTGGTGAAGGCAGGAGGAGCAGCCTGTGTGACCCTTTCAGATGCAACAACAACCAGCTGATGATGGAGACAGAGACAATCACACACTACAATTATCAGCTGATGATGGAGATAATCACACACTACAACAACCAGCTGATGATGGAGACAATCAGCCTGCCCACACTGAAATGGACCCGTCTACGAAGAGGGGTGATGAAGCATGGAGCACCCGTCTTCCTAAGACCCCAGTTCTACATTCAAATCCAAATTCTGGAGGTCAAGTACTTGGTTATTACACGACGGTAAGTTCAGCTCTTGTACCCGAGTTCTTTCTTAGAAGCGTGCTGACAAAATGAGTTACTTCTCAGCTTCAAGCCTTAAGGAAAAGGATACATCACGCATATAGAGGTGAAGTTTTTACAATTTATAAGTATGAAAAATAATAAAAGACAGGTTATAGTACAAGAGTATGGCATCACTAGAAAATCTACGGGTTTGACCCTCGTGTCAATTTTTGGCCATATCTCCATTTGTGGGTTGCGAGAAGTAACTCAGTTTGTCCGCACGCCTCACTATCAGCTTATCCTGTTTGTTAGAGTTTCATTCGACCCCTACATACATCCGAATGTACAAGGAAAGTCTGCTTGCTTCTTCTCCCAACCCTTGTTTCTGAACAAACACTTCTCCCAACCATTATTTCTGAACAAACACCAATGTGTCTCTATTTGAGCTGAACAGTCTGTGACTTTGACAGGACAATAGTGGGTGGTTGGCGGGTTCTCTGGTATGGGTTGCTCTTTCTTTCCTATCAAACATCTTTCTTCCTTATCT